TTATGGATCCAATACTTCAGCCATTAATCCATAACAGATGTCTTTACAACAAGTGCTCCCATATATGTCTGCCATCGGATGACAATCGGATATATCGTTGCGTTTGTCCGAAAGACACGGTTTTAATCGATGGCAACGTTTGCGGCGAAAAGCGTTTCGAGACATTAGTAGTCGAGTCAATGCATTGGGAAAAGGATTTACAGAATCTAATCAAACACTCCATCAGAAAGTCGATGGATTTGCGGCGACTCCTAAACCAATCGTTTGAACATCAAATGGATTTAAACCATTTGTTTGATATATATCTCAACGACTCGTTTGATATGAAGACAATGTTTCGTCTGAACGCAAACCATAGGCTGTCGATGAAGAAGGGGTTCCTTAAATCCATTAATGAGACACTGTTTTGGAGGCATTTGTTTGATCAAACTTTTCGCGTTATAAGTCCTAACAATTTAACGCTTAATGAATCGTATAATTCCGACAATTTGACTCAAATGATGGACTTTTTGGAGGCTTTGATGAAAAGTGAAGACTTTAATGAGTATTGGGCTGTCGATGAGATAAGAGTCGGCCAACTCGTCATCCATGCCATCATTTTGATTGCTTTGTTGGTTATAATTGCGTTGTTTTCATATATCGGGTAATAGTTTTGAAATTTATTTTTTAATTATTTGATGTGTTTTATGTGTTTACTTGTAATCTGTTTTTCAGGTATCGTTTGAAACATACATTTTACAAGAATTCATCCCAATATCCGATGCAAGATATAAGAGTAGATGTGATGCGAAACAGACGTGATATCAATAATAATAAGTCATTCAAGTCTGCGATGGAAACCAAGAATTGAATTCTTTATATCAATAATAATCGCATAAATATANATAATAAGTCATTCAAGTCTGCGATGGAAACCAAGAATTGAATTCTTTATATCAATAATAATCGCATAAATATATCAAATATAGAATTATAATTATTTAGTAAATTATAATTAAATGTAAGTTTATTACAATAAATATTAAATTTATATAAATTCCTTTTGCAAATAATTTGTTAAAATTTTAATATATTTTATAATTGAAATTAAATTTTATTTTTATTACATAAAAACATACCAAGAAATCAATTTTTAATTAATTATAAATAAATATTGTTTACACAGATTTGCATATATTATATTTTTACAACTTTCCAATTAAATACTATTTATTAATTATTTTTATCTCGCAAATTAAATGTACTGTAAATTCATATAAATAATATAGAAATCTATGTATAATTGCAATTAAGCGATTTTATAATTAATTGTTTATAATATGAATACATCGTTACAATTATATAATTATACCATAAGAATATACATTTGTGATAAAATCTAGTATTGAATCAATTAAAACATTAACATTTAAAATTCTATTAAAAATATAAAAATTTTTACATTATTTATAATACTCAATTAATTTATGAGAAATGTAATGAAATTGAAATTAATAGTTCACTACAAATATATAATGCATTATTTGGTCGCATATATCAAACCGGATAAACATTTAATGACCTTTTAATGAATACCGGATTACATATTCCTTAAACACGGTATTCAAATAAAACACAGATTCTGTCACAAAAACGCAAATTCTCTACTATAAGGAACTAATGATAACATAGGATAACAAAATTATTATGTAATTCATATGTTTTACACCAAAAATCTCTTATTATTAGTAAACGATGTGATAATGAAATAGAAATAAAACAAAGTCCTGAGTAGGGCAACTTTTTGAAATCGATTTGAAATCGATTTTAATAGTTTTGAACACAATAATGACTATTACAACTATTTATTCATTTTAAAGCATTAGTTAAATATTATATGTTATCATTCTTTGACTAA